AGTCAAGGTAATTAATTTAATACATTTTTTCTTTTTACAAATATCTTCTCATGCCCAAAATCACCCCTAACCCCCGCCATAAGCCAGCTAACCCCAAGTAGGTCATAAGTTATTACCCAAATATTATAAACAGCAGGACACCACAAAAGGAGATGATTGCACAGTTCAGCTTCTTGCTTGCACATGTAGCACCCAACCATCACTCTTCCTCTTCTCATTCAATTGTCAATTGTCAAGATGCATTCTCTGCCAAACTCATGCAAAAAAGACGACTTTTAACGGAGCCTGAACCTTCCAAATTTGTTTGGGTAGGAAGTAATATGTCTTTAAGTCCCAACACCCATCACGTACACATAAAAGGATTGAACATAAAACTATCTATTTTTCTTTCGTTTCCAAACAACCTGATCCCTTTTTGTTGTCACATGCACATCAGAAACCAAATGGAGAAGATCTTCGTACTCACCCACCTCCCAATCATTGAGATTCCGAACCACATCTACACTCCAAACCCCATCCATTCTCCCATTACCATAAATTGCCTCCACAAATATACACTTCTCTTGAGCAATAGCAAAAATCCGAGGGAACCGGTCTTTAAGACTTTCGTTCAACCGATTCATCTAACCAAAATCAAATTTTATTCCCCCTACCAAGCTTCCATCTAACACATTCAAGAAATTTGTCGTACCCCAAACTAATTTCCTCCACAAACCAACACCATGAGGTCTACCTGTACTATTCCAGCAACCACTGCTTTTCCCCCATTAGACCTCCACCATACTCTTCCATAATTTCTCCTCTCCATTCAGATTTCTCCATATTCCTTTTCCATGCAAAACCTATTCAACTCAACCTAAGATCGAAGCCCTAACTCCCCATGCCCCATTTTCAAAAAAAAAAAAAAACTCTCCATGCCCCATAGGCTTTTTCTCCTTCTTTCAATTCACCAAGTGATATCTCAACACCATGAAAAATACTATAAGTATGAAAGTACAGACACTTGAAAAGAACCACACTTGAGAAATTGTTAATTTACCTTAAGAAAAGAAACTAATAGGATGCAAATGGGTCTTTACAATCAAATATACAACAGATAAGACAATGAAAAGATATAAAGCAAGAGTGAGAGCAAAGAACTATACACAGACATATAAGATAGAATACCTGGAGAAATTTATTTTTCTAAATGAAAAAAAAATATTTTTTAAATATGTCAGATAATCGAGTGACCACCTCAATCAAGATTTAACCCAACTGAGAATGATCCTCTACATTATCAACGGTTCATAAACCGTCTCCACCATTAATCACACTCTGATCACACGGTCATGATTCATCCATTAGACTTGAGATCTTATCTCCTTAGAACTCAACGATAGAGAAGTACGAACCTATAGAATAGATCATGTTCAAGTAAGGTCGTACTAGGAGACATTCGTATCAGTAGGCAATATGAAAACTGTGTGAACCTTGTTGTAATTAGCTACCTACTTTGATTAGTAATTACAATAATTTGATGGAAAAAAAAACATTTTCATGCATAAAAATCTAGAAGAAGAAATCTCCATGGATATTCATCAAGCTTTGACAAAGAAACAAGACAGAATAAGATATGTAAACTAAAAAATACATTGTATGAACTCAAACAATCACCATGAATATAGTTTGGCAAGTTCACAAGGGTGACGATAAATTTAGATTTAAGCAGAAACAAAGAGATCATATTTTATTTATTAAACATTCAGAAACGGTGGTAGTTATAGCTCTCTTATATTCATGATATTACGACATTATCGTAAAAAGAAATTATGAGAAGGAATAATTGACACTAAAATATTGTCTGCCAAAAGAATCCAAAATCAAAAAATCAGGCAAGCTAAAATATTTTATGAAAATCGAAGTTTTCTACTCTAAATCTAGGATTTTATTTTTCTACAAAAATACATTCATGACCTATTAAAAAATAATAAAAAGCTAGCATGAAAATCAGTTAGTACTTCTATTAATTTTAATAAAAAATTACGAATAACTGAAAAAGATACGTTAGTAAAAAGAAAAATGTATCACAGATTAGTTGAGATATTGATCTATTTATCCCACACAAAACCAGACATCGCTTATGCACTAAGTGTTATAAGTCAATCCATGCACAATCTCAAAAAAGTGTACCTAAAAGCAACCTACAGAATACTACACTAACTAAAAAGGTCACCAAGGAAATGAATTATGTTCAAGAAGAATGACAATTTACTCCTAAAAAGCTATACTTATGTAAATTATGCAAGGTTAATTGTAGACAAAAAATCTACTACATGCTATTGTACCTTCTTTAAAAACAATCTAGTTACCTAAAGATGTAAAAAGTAAAATATGTTACGAAATCAAGTGCATATTCAAAATTCCAGGCAACGACAGAAATGATATATGAACAACTATGGATAAAAATAATTTTAAAAGATCTTAGAATCAAATAGGAAAACTGCATATGCCTATACTATGACACCAAGTCGACCATAAGCATCACTCATAATCCGATGTAACACGACTGAATCAAACACATCGAGATTAATAGATATTTTATCAAATAAAAATTTGACACTAGCCTAATATATATCTCATACACTCAATTGGCAAATGTATTAACTAAAAGTTTAAACAATCCAACATTTCAAGCTCTTGTTGGCAAGTTAGGGTGGACAACAGCTACTCTCCAACTTAAAGGGGAGTGTTAAAGAGAGGATAAATTAGGTTAAACAGTATATGTTAAATTATATCTTTGTAATTATATTTAATTGTTTATTTCATTTTTCATTCTAGAAAATCTATACATAGAAGGCTGTAATATTCAATAAAATATATTATTAAAAAAAATATTCAATAGAATACCCATTAAACAATTCTTAACAGAAACAAAAAGTTGTAGCTGCAACAGAATGCTATCCTCCATAGAGACAAAAAAGAGAAAACGTAACCAAAAAAAAAAAAAAGAAATCAGTACAACATAATAGCTCTTTTACGAGAAAGCCAGAGTCAACATACCTAGAAAAATAATAACTACTATACATAGCTTTTTTGTACAAAGGTAGCAGCACTTGCAGTATTTTGAACCCAATATCTTTTATTATTAAAAAATATATATAAATGACATATATAAAGGCCTAGCTCATAATCTCACTCGAATGCCAATCCAGCCATAAGCATAATATGAAGGACGCAAATGCATTACGAAAGAGGAGAACAATAAAGCTTTTGAAAAATTCTTTCCCCCCTTTTGGTACTATCACTGATTATTGTTTTAGAACTCTTCGTGGTTGTCTAAGTGTTAGCATCTTAGTGATGGGATTGATTTTGTTGATTTTATTGGTATTTTATTTTTGACAGAGATGTAAATACTTTTGCAAATAAGCGGCAACCCCTTGGTACCCTCTAATTCCATATCTTTTCTAATTCCATCTCTCTCTCTCTCTCTCTCTCTCTCTCTCTCTATATATATATATATATATATATATATAGCGAATGCCCGTCTTCTTCTTCTTTCTTCCCTCTTCTCTCTCTATCTCTATTTTAATCTATCTCTCCCCAGCTATCTTCTTAACTCTGAACTCTCCCATCTACCACGCTCAAACTGAGTGTTAGACAACAGATGAGTCAACAGTCTAAAACAGATATAAAAAATTACCAGAAGATTTAAAGAGAGAACAAAAGATAAGAAACCTCTACCTGATAGTAGCGGACAACATGCTGATGTTGCAAACGAGAAAGTGT